ATATGGCAAGATTCATCGCAATTTTTCAATTAGTTATTCAACAGTTAATTAATAATTTCCAGCTCCTTGGACATGGACATTACAAGTAAGAATAAATTTGAGATTTTGTTCCTTCCGGAAAAATCTATTTTACTGACTGGAATAATTTTTGCGGAATGGATAATAAATACTGAAATTATTTTCTCAGAATGCGTATTCTGAGTGAGTAATAGATTTATTTGCAAAAAAGTCAATTCACCCCACAACACCCCTCTTCACTCTGGGCATTTTCGAAGAATTTTGGTGCATTGGGTAAAAAATATTGAAATTATTTTCTAAGAATGCATATTCTGAGTAAATAATGAAAATTGAAACGATTTATACAGAAAAAAGTAAATAATCCCTCAACACCCACCTTTTACTGTTGTCATTTCCGCAGACTTTTTGCGGGGCGAGTATCAAATATTTAAATTATTCTTTCTCATTTCCGACTCTATCTTGTGTTCTGAGGTAGTTACCCACATACTCGATTCAGAAGAGGAACAAGAAATTAATCAATAGGGTGTTAAAGGAGCATATCTTGAAAGATATTTTATTCATTCATAATCTCGATTGAGCATCTGTTATACCTACACTTACTTTTACAAAACACAATAATAGAGTGTGTTCTCGAAGCTTCTTGCATCGTCCATAGATATATCTATGGACGATGCTTCTTGGTTCTCGTCTTCTAGAGTCGTAAAAGCTCTTCTTCAAAAGGATCATAAAAATATCCCGAACTAAATTAAACTTTTGAATGAAGCATTTATTTGGTGATAAAACTGTAATAAGTATGGGACATTTCAAAATACAGAATTTCAATCATATTTTTTTGTTTATTAGTTGATATCGATTTATGAGGCTAAGGTTATAATAAAATTATGGTGTGATAAACAGGTAGTGCAAATTTTCATTATTTGTCAGTAAAAATGAACTGACCCAACTAGGGTTTGGGGCGTCAGTTTTGATGCAATTAGAATAGGAAACAAAGAATGTAATTCCTGATATCTATATTATAAATCTGTTTTTCTCTCTCATTCCTCAGATTAATTCGTTAGGGTGTGAATAAATGACTTTAATATATGTAAGTATATGTGGCAGTATTCATGAACCTACGAAAAATAAAATGTATCATATAAGTGCATGATATATTCTCAGCTTCCCCCCGTAATTCGATCGAACGATGGTCGTCGACTGTCTGTCTCACCTTGAATGCAGCCTTCCCGATAAAGTGATTCTCGATGTATTTATACCAATGATGCAAGCTCTCGACATCCGACTGATTCATATACTTCCAGATGGTGCTGCGCTATGGAAGATGACGACGATTTTTTCGACACCTTGTCAGTCAATTCCGAGTCTGAGAAACGGCGGTTCAACAACAGGGACTACTTCAGCTTGTCCCGAAATACAATCTACAAGTCCGCAATGGATCTGGAAGACGGGAACGATCTGGAGCTGTCATACCTCGATCAAAATAAGGTGTCTTGTAAAGTTAGGGATGTTAAGACGTATGAGCAGTGGAGAAATAGGGTATTTTTTGATTCTTTTTCGTGTCGCACAAGCATGGTATGCTACAACAACCTTACTTTTCTTGCCTTATTTCAACACTGGCTACTACCTCTTATGCTGTAGTTATTGGTGGAGGGTTTTTATCTCTTCTATACCTAAACGAGCTATGACGCAATTAATATTATAAAAATAGAACCACCCCTATCGAAAATCGCTGTGCGTGAATTCTTATTGATATACATATTGAAACAGTCTAAAGGCTCAATTCGCTATTTTTGTTTTTTAGTAACCAGGGCGAATTTTCAAATTGACCTAGATTTGGATATGTATGTAACTTGATTCAAAGAATTAATCATTAGTTGTAACATCTGATACACCGGCATATAGGTACTATTCGCCACTAATCATATAACAATAATAATGATTTTTTAAATAATCTTCGTATACATATAACGGTAGGTATTATATAATATATTACTCTGAAAAAATTCGTTTGAAAAACTTTCTGCTTAATTGTTAAGTAGAAGTATTCAGCATCTATGACATTTGCCTATGAATAAATTAAATCGATTCTATACAGTATGATCAGAACCTCTTTTTCATAAAACAAGAATTATTCATTATTGTTTTTCGGTAATGGCAAAAAATGTGTGACGTGTTTCCTATTAACCTGCGATTAGAACGTGAGTCAATGCCTCCATGACAACTAAGCTCTTTGGACAGAAAATATCCCGCCAGAAATGATCAAAGCAGAGGCCTTACAAAACCCAAATAGCATCCTATCAGTCGACAATGAGTTGGCAAAGCATGGAAACTTCCCAATTGAATGGAACACCGCTAAGATCATGTTCATGCCATACATACACCATTGTGCCTAATTGATTCAGCAGGTGAATAATTTGTGAGACTTCTACCTATACGCCTCAATGGAGTGTTAATACGTACCGGAGGCATATCAGATCAGCAGTTTGGGTTTCAAAAAGGAAGACACGGAAGAACTGTAGACGCGGTTAGCATGCTAACAAATACTGCACAGAAAGCCACCGCTCGGCAAAAAACTAACGAGTCACTAAGGAATATGGGAATTATTGAGAGTATATTTACCATAATTGCATATTCTAGTGGAAATAAAGCAAGGGAAAAATCTTGTTAGTATAAGTAGCGGCGTACGTCAGGGTTTGGTTCTTGATCCTTCCTTATGGAATATTTCATATGACACTTTCTTTTTGATTGAAATGCCTGAAGAAGTCACATTGGTCGACTCTGCTGATGATGTGATAGTGATTATTGCAGTATAAATACTGAGACCAATAACATTTGATATGCAAGCCACAAAGATAGTACAAAACAGTTGAGAATCTTGGAGAATGACTTGACACGAAGCTTACGACGAACACATAACCAAGTGTTCTCAAGGTCAAAATAACAGTTTCTGCATTAGCCCATTTAATGGTCATTGTTTCGATGAAAAAATATCGTGCAATTGCTCCTAAAATCCCCAAAATTTGAATTATCCTACGATAGAAGAATAGAGAATCTTCTCTATAGACCAATTATTAAGGGTGACCTCAAACCAAAAGTTTATCTGCGACTGATTTAACTCTAGAACCTCCAATTAATATTTACTACTTCCTTGTGGGAATAGCTTTTGAATCGTTCCAAATACGATATTGTCCCCTGATTATGAAAGACATTCTTGAGAGGATTACAGAAATAATAAAGGATATGAAGTGTACCCCAACAAAAAATAGTTATTTAATATTCCATTTGGGGACTTAGACTTATCCCATATAAAAAAGTTCAGATCGAAGATGACACAGTTTATTGGTTGTTCCATTGACAAAAATGTACGTCCAGTACTCATGTCACAAATTCGTGATTCATCCACTATAACACTATACTACAGAAAAAAATTACTGGCAACAAAAAAATTCACTCATATAATATTTATTTCTATGTCATTTCATTATTAATTTTCTCATGTGTACAGTTTTGAACTAAAATAATTGTTTTTGAGTATTGTAACAATCCTTAATATAAATAATTATGAAACTCCATAAGCGTTTTGTTCTATTTTGAATAACTTTTTCAACTGACCTCGTGTATTCCTAATACTGTACTTATCTGAGGCCAAGTTGTTATAATACTGTTAGCACCATTAAAATTATCAATATTTGTTCATAGCAGGAAACCAGCCGAAATAATAGATGTTATTTTCTTGAATCTTAGGTTATTTATTCAGTAGTTCGGTCAAATGCCAAACAATCTATTGAAGTAAATACAGAACTTCATTTCACTCGGTATGACTGTTTTGTTCTGACTTTTTGTGTTATGTTGATTTGCAAAATTTAGGGTTTTGTGTATAGATAAGTTTTTTGTGTAAATAGTGTGTTTGCAAAATGTTGATGCTGGTAAGATTTTGTTTCATTTGAGAATACTTTCCAGAATATTAGAAGAAGGTGGAATAAGTAAAGTAATACATACATAACACAAACTATTTGAACTTGAAAGAGCTCATATTGGCATATGAAATTTTTTTAAATGAGTGTAGATTTTGAGACATTTTGATACTTTTAAGAAATATGTCATCTCAAATCAGTCATTTAGAATTGAAGAAATGTAATCAGTTTGTTTACTTTTCCTTTTTTTTTATCTACAGATAAGATATAAAACACTAGGTGTAAATCGGAGCGGATAAAAACTTGGCTGTGACGAACCTGCTTTCAATTTGACAAACGTTTTTTTTTATTTTAGTTACCTACCTAGAAATACTACTTACAAACATTTTCAAGATGGAACTTGCTTGTTTTTTGTATTTAAAGAACACTCTATTGTGAGATTTTTGCTTGACCATTTCTAAAACCGCGACACGTGTAAAACTACACAGTAGTGGGCGTATCCAATATTTAATTATATTGTATAGGGAAACACAAAGTGTTATTTAAATGTAAATGCTATGGATTTTCATCAAGTATCGGCCATTTCCATCAAATATCGCCAGTTTTTCCTTCGTTTCGTCAAATTTTTATGAAATATGCCTTCTTAATATCACTACAAAAATTACAATATCTGTATGATTGAGGTTGTTATTATTAAAAAATTTTTGGAAAAGATTGATAAATCAGAATTTGATGTTTTTTACTGCAAATTTTTTCTTTTTTCACAACGAACATTTGAACGGATAATAACCCGCCGTTACCACAAACTTTTTTGATTTGAGAAAATATAAAAAACAATCATTTCAGAGTTTGTTGCAAACTTTGGCTTTTTTGGAATTCTGGTAATTCATTTTGTAAGAAAATAATACATGTAAAATTACAAAATTCTTTTTTCAGTGTTGATTTGTTGTTATTTATAAATTCTCAATTATTATTCTTAGAAAGAAAAACAGTATGAGATTATCGTGCTAATGAGTTGTCACAGAACCAATCTGTAGTGAAGAAATCAATAAATTGTAATTATACTCTGTTGATGCTAATTTTGGTATTGAGATTAAGTCCCAATTAGTTTTTTCTGTTATGGAAAAAGTGATTTTCTTGATATAACTTCATTAAACAAATAATCTTAGAAGTGAAAGATTCTTGAAATGTACTAATAAAATTAATAACACTATACAAATAAACAAATAATCTATATATCTAGGCTGCTGTAAAATGGATTAACAAAAAATTGATAATATAAGACACCTGAAGTCGTGCCATTTTCAACACAATTACAAATATTTACTAATTTCAAGTATTCACAGCTTTTACCAATCATGGTAAACTTTCACATTTTTCAAACTTGTTTACTTTTAACCATCATAACGTTATTTTTTTTTCTGACAGAGGTGGAGAAATTTTTCATCTAGTGACTTGAGCGTGGATTTTGTACTTGCATATGATGAACAAGGACAACCTGACGATGTCGAAAAACGAAAAACATTTGAAAAAAGCTTGGAAACCACCGGACTGATTTTGGAACACGAAGAGAACCAGAGAATACACTTTGTTAAAATTCATGTTCCAAAAGAAGTATTAAGTCGATACGCAGAGATTCTCAAATTAAGATTACCAATAAAAGATGTAAGTATCCACTGTAGAATAGAATGTGTTCATCATTGAAAATATTATACCATTCAACAATTAAGAAGAGTTGATAGTGCACTTCATCATCTCATATGATATTAAATTTTTTTCTTAGCACCATAAATTTTATTTTAGTGTTGAAAAAACTAAATAAAATGCAAGCAATGCTTTCCAAGTTAGAGAACGAAGTATCTGAGGTGTATCAAAATGACACAAAAGTTTCAAAACTAATTAAAAAGAATAAATAGCCTCTGATAACTGGAGAACGGTAAAAAAAATCGATGGGGGTTGGTGAAAAAGTGCTTTTGACCATGTATGACTGAAAAGGGGAAAAAGTCCGACCACCAACACTGAAAAGAAAGAAATAGAGTGCAGTAACTCTATAAAAAATAATCTGTTTTTGAAATTTGTTTTTCCTATAACCAGCTGTCGCGAGCTAAGGACTAACGAGCTTGAACCTTTCAACGTGTGATTACTAGCACGGGTTGGACGATAGGAAGTGAAAATCGATCGATCCGCCTTGCGGTTTGAACCATCGGTTCACACAGCGGTCGATTGAGTGGAGCAAACCACCAATGTCAACCCAACTAGTTACCGGCTGATGAAACTGTTTATTTTTAGAATGTGATTGAGTATTACATGAAAAACCAAAAATATTTGTTTCACTGTATGAGTTGTACTTGAATAAAAAGTTGTAGGTACTTCATCTATCGTTGCGGTTTACGCTCGCACTAACTTTGACATATGTTGAGGAAAAATTTGAATAATTTAGCGCAATAGAATCAATAGAATAGAATCACCCTCAAAAAGATATTCTAGATCTTGATTCCCTTTCAACATGTGCGTAACATGTTTCTAAAATGCTGCGTTACTGAAAGCCCATCATTAATACTTGCCAGAACATTTTTACATGTATGTATGTGTGCTGGTGCAATACATCTAATTATTTTTTTTAACAAAAAAAAAACGGGAGGACAGTTTAATTACTAGTTGCAAAACACAATTCAATTCAGAAATTAGGTTTTCCGAGTGTATTTTCCATACACCAGATGATCATATTGACCTTCAATTTTTATGAGTGTACAGAAGTCATAAGAAATTAGTTTTTCAAAGAGTAAGAGTTTTTGGATACATTCACTCCACTCTTCTGCTACTATCTGAAAAGATTATTGGCATATACTTTTGTTTAATTTTGGACGATACACACGAATTTTCTTAGACGAATATAAATATTACAAAAAGGAGTAGAGCCAGCAGTGAGCCTTGAGGAACTCCTAATGAGACATGAGCTACCGAATCCATTACTACTATCTGTTACCTCAATATGGGACTACCCATCCATTAGCCGTTGACATTTGTGATATACTTTCTATTTTGTAATTGGGTTATGCCCTGTAGAGTTTGTACAATAAATACATATATATACACATTCTCAAGCAATAAACCATAGTCAATTGAATTGAATGCATGAGATAAATCGAAAGTTTAGATCAATTAATAGCAATTTATTACCATGAAATTTTTATAGATATCACATAGTTAAAATATGCAGATGATGTTGATTTTGCTGTCTGAAACCATACTTGCAGTCTGATATGAGCTTATAATTTCTTGTAAATGTACTCAGTCTCAAGTTGGCATGGTCAATAATTTTGGTCAATAATTATATCGTTTTTGCAGTCATTATGGAATATCTCCGGATATCCACTGTCACAGAAAGATTTTTTTTGATGAATGATATTGCTGAAATTTTTTTGGAAATTGACAATGATTATCATCAATTCCTCGAGGTGCCATTTCTGTAGTTCCTCTAATGGTTACTTGGTGAAGTTGGATATAAAAATAAACTACTGCATGAAAAATGATGTAATTTGTTTGTATTAGGTATTTGTTTGTATTTCTATGAAAAATGTATTAAAAATATAACAATTGTTGTTTTATCCCTAATAGTATTGATTGTCTATCATTATTTTTACTCTTTTTTTTGAAGTTTTCCAGCTTACCTTGTTATATTTGATGAAATACAGATACCATCATGCCTATTCACTACTCTACTTCACAGAAACTATTTATCACATTATAATTTTCATTATTCGAAGCTTGCATTTAATTTGACTGTAACTAATTTTCTGAAGACACAGAAAATTGGGTTCATGTTGATCTAGTAAATTGTCTAGTTGTGGTATCCTCCTGGTAGCCATGCTCTATACATTAAGGTGCATAACCACAAATGATTCTTCTAAATTTTCCCATTTGACCTTTGGAATTGTATTTTTATACTTTGTTTAAGGATGAATCTGACTTACCAAAGGATAACCTTATAGTAGAAACTGCCAATAGAATGATGAAATATTTTAATGTCAGCCTGGACCCTAGAAAATTTCCCATCAAAAAATACCAACTCACAGCAGAATTTAGTAGGGATAAAAGTTATTTGTGAGTTAGAATATCTTTGGATGAAATTTTTTTAAACATCTTTTTCTAGATTCAATGTAGAAGATCCAGATTTCTTCAATGCCTCTGTAAGAATTACTGTAGCTTCCTACATATTGGAAAGGGAAACATTTGGTACAGAGGACCAAGATAAGGGAATCAAACGACTTATTGCCGAAAATGTTTACAAGGCTGCTTATCCCTTACATGATGTAAGTAAAAAGTTCATGAAAGATTAACATTAATTTTTATTTTGAAAATCGTTAGTGTAAGGTTATCCAAATCTTGAAATTGATATTTGTGAACGTGCAAGAGAATTTGTCATTGTCATTATAAGGACTTGAATTGAATCTCTTCTGGGGAAAAACAATTTTTGAAACTCAAAAAATCTCTTGTGAGTAAAAATTGTGATATACTACAATTTAGAGACAATATGAGCATTGATGTATTGTTCTTCTTTCACTATGATTGCATCCACGGTGTTTTATCATATCCTCTGCTGGGGAAATTCGATAGACTCTTATAGTGTCTTAGTATGGCAGAAGAGAATTTTGAGAAACATACAATATACTTCATGTGAAAATCACTTTTGATGATCTGAAAATTCTGACTATATATTTATATACTGTGTTGCTTATTACACACAGGTAAAAATGTAGATTGCTTCCCACTATGTGGCATATTCAAGAAACAAATTATTATGATATTTTCAATTTTCACTAAACAATTTGGCCAGTATGAAGCTTCAGGCATGTAAAGACACGCCTGAAGCTTTATATTGGCCAAACGGGAACTTTTGCAAAGAATAAAAAAGAAGTAGTTACTTGGATATGACGACTAATTTCGCATTTGTAAATCTGTAGCACGAGTTCAATCACGACTATGACGTGTTACATTCGGAAGAGAAAGGTTTGAAATTTAATCTTTTAGAGTGCTTGGAAAATTCACCAAATAACCCACTAGAATTGAATACTTCCCCTTTATTAAATCTTTTTCTGAAGTGGAAATCATTTAACATTTGTCGCCAATCTCTTATTTATTAGTTTTGGTTGGTTTCCCCGGGTTTTGCCGTTTTTTTAAGGACAAAACATAAGTTCTACAAGAAAATCCTTAGGGCGCTCTTAGAGCTACTTTCGCCTGTGCGAAAGTAGCGATTTACATTGGATTTGAATCGCTAGAGAATAAACCCATTTGCAAAAACGTTCAGGAAGTTTATTCCAAATAAACCAGATGAAAGATTTTTCAAACAACGAAGTTCGAGGTGTACTCAGTTGAATCTCAAACCGATGGGCAGCCACAGTCCATCGCGTATTTCGGATATGTACCGAAATACGCGATGGTGGATTCAAATGTGCCAAGTCATTTGAACATTTCCCGTGAAAGTATCTAAAGAAGAGAGACAAATCTCCAACCTTTCTTCGATGTTCCATGCTATCAAGGTTGCACTTGATGTTCGCGACTTCAATTAGGCGGATGGCTCTTATCTGGATGGAATCCAGCATCTTCAGGGTATGTTTGGGGCAGAGCTCCATACATAAGAACAATACTCCAAAGGAAGTCTGATCTGAGCTTTGAAAGCATCAAAAGTTGCTGAGGTGTGTATAGTTTCCTGGTTCGGAACAGTGTTCCAAGCTTTCGAGAAGCAGCCTTTACAATTCCAGAGACATGATGTTGCCAAGATATATTGGTGACCATTTCAACCCCCAACAAATTTATCGAAGCAGAAAGCGGAATTGTCTGACCTGACATTATTATATCCGATTCGGAGACATTTATCTTCTTGGAGAAAACCGTTGCCTGGGTTTTTGTGGGATTGAATTGAAACTGGTTACTTTCACGCCAGTTCGAAATCACTTCTAGATCCTCATTAAGATATGCAACCTCCTGCTGCCGGTGAAGATGTGCCTCCGTAGCCGATGTCCTGGAATCTAAATGTAATGACGAGACAAGTGTGCTGTCGTCAGCAAAGCAATATATTCTTGGTTTTTTCAAATAAGTCGTTGATATACAATAGAAAGAGAGTTGAAGACAATATGGATCCTTGGAGAACACCAGCGTAGATGGTGAAAGTATTCGAGAGATATCCATCGACGGTCACTTCCAGGAAATGTTTTTTCAGGAAGTTGGAGAGCAGAAATGGGAGCTTCAGTTTCAGTTTATATGTCAAGAAGAGTACTTCGACCACGCCACTGAAGATGATTGCCGCAGTTACAGTTGAAACGTTTGGAGATAGTACCCAAAGACTGGTTTCAGGTTGTTTCGTCAGTGCAAGGTAGTGTATATCATCAACATAAAGTCGATGATTTCCGATAATTGAAAATCTAATTCCGTCAGAGTATCATTCCTCGAACTAAGCTGAAGACTACAACAAACAACAGATTTGTCATCGCCCCATCTGCCTGTTAACAGGCAGATGTCGTCGCCCCATCTGACGGAATTCAATTTCCAATTATCGGAAATCATCGACTTTATGTTGATGATATACACTACCTTGCACTGACGAGTGGCCAAACAGCCCGAAACCGGTCTGCAAGTGTGTTCCAATAATTGAAAATCTATTGCGGCAGTTGTATCGCCAACAGCATATGCAGAAATAACTTCTGTGAAGAATCCTGCACTGACACCTGTCGAATATAATCCAACGCCCTTCGTGGTATTAGCCAGGGGAGTAGTTGTTTTCTGATAGGTGACAGTCCATTAACCTACTACGTAGGGTGTTGAGACTGGCCTGAACGAATTGTTCTCTTAGATGATTTGATTTATAGCCAGTCTTCAAGTATGCCCGTTGACTGTACGTGAAACACTCTGGTTGTTCATTTTATTCAGCCATTATTTGTTCATGAAGTGATATGTAACTAAGAATAGTTACATATCAGACTGACATTGAATTGAATCAACGGATGATTCAGCAAATATATCTTGAAAAATATCAAGAATACAGATTCTAGTTATTCAGTTTTCCCAATTTTGATATCTCTATACGATCGATATCTATAACAAACGTTTTAAGAATAAATATATTGATACTTTTCAAAGTTAGAAGAAATTGGTCTCCCAGATACGGATAGTGTTTATCAAGCAGTTACTCGGGCTGTAGATTATTTTTTGTGGGAATTAGTATTGAATACGAGTTCATTTGGGACAAACACTATGTTTTAATAAAATTTTTGCAATATCTGTACATCTTTGTGATTATTAACAAACTGATCATATGAAATGGATGATTTTCTTAGCGACATAGTTATGAAAGTTTGGATAATATGTTGAAAGATCTAAAAAATACACCTATGATTCGATCTAATAATAGATCAACTAATATCACCAATTTTATGAAAGAAAACTGAAAGAAAACTGGTTAAATGAAACATAGAAATAAAAAATAAACATTCCCGACATGAAGTTTCGAGAATATCAGATAGGTTCCATGTGAAATGTGACGTGAAGCTTCCATGGTACAAGACAAATTAGTTTCATTTCATTTTTTCATTCATTCTTTCAGAGTTTTAGAGTTATGTCATCAAAGTGCAACAATCTGATTGTATTCTGTGATAAAAAAGGTTGGATTCTCATTGAAAACATTTCTGTGTATAAAAAGTCCAAGAAAAAGTTTAATCTTAAATCAATATGAACTGAACCTGCAGTCTTCCACAAAGCATATGCCATGAGAGCCAAAAGATCAAGGTTATTGAAGGAAACATGATATTTAAATAAAAACAAGCAAAGAAAATGTGAGACATGATGCAGAAAGGAGTGAACTACAAAAAACTATTGAAGAATTTGCCGAAAACAAAAAAACTAACCAAAGACAAGGAAGTGATCATGCCAGTGTCATTGCAGCCGGACGAGGATCTCAAAGAAATGATAATGAGTCATGAACAAACTATAAAAAAGACTATTGGTTGTATGAAAGGAAAGCCAAACTGCTTAAAAGAAACAATTAACATAAAGATAGTTATAAGTCTCTACAAAAAAAACTAGGAAGTGCTCTTCAGAAAAAAGCACTGACATTTCTCAAACAGTGAAAAGACTGGTACGAAAAAGTAATTCCTTAAAATCTTTTTGAAGCGAATCTGTTGTCTGTTGTCTGTTAAAATCTGTTTTCTGTAAAAATCTGTTTTCTGTTAAAATCTGTTTTCAGCAGCTGTCGTCCTCTACGAACCATTCGCAAAAGTCGAAACTTGTGTGAGCTAACGATTAACGACGTATTACCTTCCAACGTGTGATTCCTAGCACTGGTTGAACGGTAGGCGGTTGATTGATTGAGTGGACGAACCACCCACACCAACCCAACCGGCTACCGAGAATGTTCAATATGAAAATGAAGATTCTGAATAAAACTTTGTGAGGTTCTACAAAAAAAAAAATGACAAATTTTATGAAAACTGTTCAGAAACAATTTGGAACTCAGTATAGCAGTATAGAAAATTAAAAAAAAAATAATGGTTGTACGGAACTGTACATCTGTTTTAAGCCTTCATTATATTAGGAAGTTCACTAATAACGCCCCATTCCATCAGTTGTATGATAAATATAGAGGCGTTTACAGAAATATTGTGAAAGTTACTAAGAAATATATCTTACAGCAGCAGTACTGACAAAGAAACTTGGCCTAGAGTCAACCATCAAAAACCATCACATCGAGTAATGTGATCTTGAATCCCAGTAGGCTCAATTTACTCGTATATTATCGTTCTATAGCCGAGAAAATTACTGAAAATATTGAAACATGAAATATCTTGTTTAACTTGAATAACACTCACCTTAAAGAATCATTTGTTTTTTATAAAACTAACTTGTTTGAGCTGGTGAAACACATTGAGAAAAAGACCTTATACAACATTAATTATATCTATTAGTTCAACTAATCATTAGGGGTGTTTCTCCAACAAAGCTATTGTATAGAGAAACAAGTGTCGCGGTTTTATAAAACTTCTTTCTATAGTGAAAATCAAAATGAATTTTGTTAATAAGTTTTGGTATGGATTTTCATAAAGTATCGGCCAGTTTCATTTAATTCTATAAATTTATAGTTGGCTCTAGAAAATCTTTTTTTTTTCATTTATTTAGCTTCAACCACAGAGGGTTATTAGCTGAATGTCATATACAAATATGTATCATTATTACAGTGTTATGTCATTTGAATTTTGTTCAATACATTTATGTTACTGATGAAATTTAATAATTGAGTATGGTCCGATTTATCACTTAATATAGTTTTCAAGTCATCTAGTTTATGCCGGCGTCTCTCGTTTGTGTATATTGGGTACTCGGTTAGAATATGTACGATAGTTAATTCAGTATCACAATGTAACATATTGGAACTTGTTCTCCTGAAAGTACCTAGATAACTGTGCGTGAGAAATTTGTGTCCAATACGTAGGCGAGATAATATAGTTTGTGTTTGCCGTTTCTTAGCTGATATTTTCCATGGTAAGACGAATGGTTTGACTCTGGAAAGTTTGGAATTGGATATATCCCATTTTTGTTGCCAGTCTAATGTGAGGTTCTTTTTCAGTGATGGTTTCATGTCGTGGTAAATACTTTTGGTTATTTGATGGGTAGATCCATCACCGCTTGGTGCTTCTCTCTCTTGGTAATCTGTCCGCTTTCTCGTTGCCTTCTATTCCGATATGAAATGGGCACCAGAGGAACTGAACATCTGAGTTTTTCTTCTGAGAAATTTCTAATTCGCACTTTATTTCAATTAGGGTTGGGTGAGTTGGGTATAATTATAAAAGTGACTGAATAGCGCTTAAAGAGTCTGAGGCGATTATCCAATTTAATGTTGGTTTTGTATTCAAGTGACGTAGGGCTTCGCGAGTCGCTGTGAGCTCAGCAGTAAATATGGTGGTGAAGGATGGTAGTTGGAATTTAGGGAAAAACTCAATGGTTGTATATGCAACCACCCTACTTCACTTTCAGATTGGAAAGCGTCAGTGTATATGCACTGAAAATTTTCAAATTTTTCAATTGTTTCTAAAAAAAGTTTTTTGAATAATAATGGATGATTTTCGGATTTCTTCAGATGGCTAAAATTCAGGATAGTAGATGGGATATGTATTGTCCATGGAGGAGGGGTTGTAATTTTGTTAGATTTAATTGTTTCAGGTAGGGTTGAATTCAGTTGTGCAAGGATTCTGTTTACTCGTTCCTAGAAAGGAAGACTTATCCGCTTTCTGTGATTGAATGTTTCCTGAAACTTCCTTGCAAATACATGTTGATGCACTGGATTATTTGGATAGGGTGATATTTGAGTGGCACATGACAAAGTTAAATATTTCCGACCAGTGACGGTTCTCCGGATTCGCAATTTAAGCTATCGATTGAACTAGTACAGAATGCTCCAAGTGCGATTCGTAAATCTGCGTTGTGGATTATGCCGAGTTGTTTCAGTGAGCCGAATTATATAATATACTAACATAGTCCAGTTTGGAACGGATTAATGTTCTCTACATTGTCATGAGTGTTGGGAAGTCTGCTTCCCCTGATGTGTGAGATACAGATTTCATTAAATTTAGTCCTATTTGACAAGTTAATCGAAGTGACTGAATATGTGATTTCCATGTTTATTGTCAAATTTCATGCCTAGGAATCTTTTACTTGTTACATAGTCAAATGGGAAGTTATTCAAGTATAATGTGGGATATTGTGTGTTTCTTTTTTTTGGTAAAATGCATTACTTTTGTTTTGTTGGATGAAAATTGAAGTCCGATTGTCTCTGACCAGGTCTCTATATTATTGAGTGCTTTTGAAACTTTCATAACTAGTTTATATGCTATTTAAATATCGAATTGAAATGCGTTTTTATCCATATCTAAATTTTTTTGGAAGAGCGGTTACTTTCTGGCATCGTGTTAATGTGCACTGTACACACACACTAAATAATAATCATTTTTTCCTGATTTTTAGTCTGTTTATAACATTATCATGCTGTTATTGTCACTCTCAACGTAACAAATAATCGAGATTGCAGGATCATACCTTTTCAATGAATATTTACATCAACCTAACATTACTTAAGGTAGCCTATAATGACATAACGAGCCGAATATTGAAAGGCGATTCTTTAAAAGTGAAAGACATGTTAATTTTCGTGTCAATATATAGTCAGTATTACGCTTTTGTGGTATTCTCAACTTGTTTGAAACATTGTTGATAATTCAATGGTTTTATAGGGATTAATGTTGTTTCTTTAATTTTCAATTATTATTCATATACTTGTGATGCACTGTTTGGAACTTTTGGTGTAGTAATGATTATTACTGGAGTAAGATCTTCCTCTTGAAGATAATCACTTTGTAATCGAAATACGTGTCGAGCTGTTAAAATAACAGTTTGGTGTTGGGGAAAAAACTCCAGTAATATTTATTATTCACATGTTTAGGTTTTAAATAGGCAAATTCATTCTCTAATCAACTTGAGAGAGTGGAAATGACGGATTAACAATTTTTGTGGAAACTAAAATTTTGTTGGGTCATAAAGACCAGAAGGATAGGTTAGGTCAAAAGTGGGCCTAGTCGACGCTCCACTGCAACCCGCAAGGGTTTATTGTGGCTCACACCTTTTGAAACCAAGTAAACCCAGTTTCTTGACGAGGCTGATTAGTTTATATGGTGAGTGATCTTTCAGGTCAGATGGTAAAAGTATTGTTCTACCAAACTCTGAAAACCTGATTCGGTCTGCAGTGGCGCAGGTATATGCTCTGCTGTTTCATCATTTTCCAAACAGAAGCGACCCACACTGTCTTCTGACAGTCCGAGTCTCTGCATATGATAATTCAGGCGACAGTGACCTGTAAGAAGGCCTGTTAGACATCGTAGATCATCCCTACTATAGTCCAACAACTGTTTGGTTTCAAGCTTCGAAAGGTAAATGAACGAGACCAGAAGGTAATAAATATCAGCAATTTATAATCTGACTGATCAGGTTCGTTGTTCTTGATCTTACAACATTGTTGTTTTGTGTATATTTATTGTTTTGAAAGGTTTGTCCAAGTTGATTGTTACTAACAATTATAACCATCAAATGCATGATTAAATAATAGCAACTTCGATTTTTAGGGTGATATCCATGACAAATCCTCGAAGAGAAAACTCCTTTTGGACGAATGGGCTTCAGTTTCGAAATGTATAAAATTCCAACCCATAGACGAAATAAAAGACTATTTTGGCGTCAAACTAGCCTTATACTTTACCTGGCTAGGCTTCTACACTCACATGTTGATTCCAGCATCGATTGTTGGGATTTGTTGCTTGCTATATGGCGTTTTCACTCTCAATTCGGACACTTTGAGTCGCGACATATGCTCCAAGAATATCACTATGTGTCCCCAGTGCGATAAATACTGTGATTATTGGAATTTGCAATCGAGCTGTACATACTCAAAGATTCAGCATGTTATCGATAATCCTGCAACAATTTTTTTTGCTGTATTTATGTCATTTTGGGGAACACTTTATCTGGAACTATGGAAAAGGTAAGATTTTCTGTGTTTCTATATATGCAAGCCTGCCAAAGTTCTGAATGTGAACAAGTTGTGTGCCTTAGTCGGAATGTAGTATAAATGTATCCTCTGTTTCCCGGTTTCTGTCGCATAGTAACATGCAGTTTTGATTTTAAACATCACGTTTTTATACCCTTTTTTATTGTATATCACTAATATTTTCTTGGGCTAGGAAAAGCTGGCTTAAATAAATTCTGAAGTAATCAATATATTCGGAAGAAAAGGATGTATATTATTCGATAAGATTTTGAAAAATGATGAATTGGTTATGGCTTTCGCGGCCGAGATTTTCAGTGTTGCGATCTTCATTCGGGTTTGAAGGCCATCGTGGTTTGGAACTGTATCCAATGTCATCGGTGAACCATCAAATCTATCTCTGTTTCAAATCTGTTTTTCTGTTAACCAGCTGTCGCACCCCTACGATCGACAACCCTCAGAAGACTAAACTTGTGCGAGCTAAGGATTAACGAAGTCTTATCCTTTAACGTGTGATTAAACGTGATGAATAAAACTCTGAAGAAGCCAGCCACTCGTGCTGGTGAAAACGTTGGATACAGTTCCAAACCACGACGGCCTTCAAACCCGAATGAAGATCGCAACACTTTTGAAAAATGTTTATACAATATAGTAATACAATATAGTGAGTTTGTGAATTGACGAAGAGGATCTGCATTACTTGTTACAATGAGGTTCTATAAAAAAGTGTGATGTGAAAATATGTGCAGCTTGTAGATGAAAACATGCTGAACTATTTCAATTCAACATATTTCAGTTGAGTTTAAGTACTTCTAGGTGTTACTTGAAGTGTTCTTCAGATAAGTTAAAAAAATAATATGAGTAAACAATCTTAAAACGCCAATGGCAACTATGAAACGCCATTGGCAACTGTGAAAGCCATTGGCAACTTGTCCGATCATTAAAAACGCAATTTTAATCGTCAGTGACCTGCTCTGTTATAGGTAAAATCGAGAACTTTTTGAGTGACATGTGCAAGCTAAGGGAATGTGAGAAATTTTATATCTTGATGTGTAATGGCACTCCCTGCCAAGAATATGACATGAAGTTATTCGAAATAGCCACCATTCCAAAGTTTTTTTAAAGGACAAAACACACGCACAATAGGAAAATCCTCAAGGCGTTCTTAGAGCGGAGAATAAATCCATTGAGTTATTAAACAGTGAAGTTCGAGGTGTACTGAGTTGAACCTCAAAACGATGAGCATCCAGTAAAATAAAGTAAAGCGAGATATCATATATGGAAGTTATTAAAATCGTATTTGGTTATAATTGAATGAAAAATGTACCTTGGGTGGAGTTTGGCTTTTTAATGTGAACTTCTTATTACTGTTGAAATTGCCGCTTATAAAAATAAGTTTGGAGACCCAAAACTTTTGTAGATAATTAAGTTGTTTTACATAGTATCGTTTCAAAAATCCTATTAGGAAATTGATGAAATATAGTAATAATGATATCGTTTTTATTGACCTTTCAAGTAGCATCAAGTCCAAAGTTAGGTTCACAAAAAACAAAGTAGTCGTACACTTAATCTCTTATGAACAAAAAGTTTATTGAAATATTCATATGGAATTGTTTCAATTGAATTTGAGATGAACAGAAAAGTGAATAAATTATCTTCACAATAGATTGAGTGTTATGTACAGAAATTAATGGAGAATGTTTCAGGATATTTGCCTGTTTTTTTTTTATTATCCAATACAATTTCTCTGTCTGTTCGGTTTTTTCGCTAACGAGCTGTGTTTCCTAACGTGTAGTGAAAGCCATAATATTTTTCATCAATACTTAATATGTCATAGTTGTCTGGATTTTGTGTCCATTTAATTGATAAAACTTGTTTATTAGCACAGTTAATTATCCAAAACATTTTTTTTCAGATATAGTGCCGAAATAGCCCACAGATGGGGCTTGACAGGTTTTGATCTTATGGCAGAACCTCCAAGACCAGAGTACCTGATGAGACTGGCAAACGCAAAGAAAAAAAAATTCAACGTTGTGACCCAGTTGCAAGAACCAGTGGTGCCTTTTTGGAGGGTTAAATTACCCTCATTGATACTTAGCTTTACTATAGCAATTTTCTGGACGTTAGTTGCTTTTGGTGTGGTAGTAGGAGTGGTTATTTATAGGATGTCTTACATCACTTCGGAATCGTTATATAGGTACTCAATAATATTTTTATGCAATAAAATCTACACTTGTTTCTTCTGTAATTTTTAGTGACAAATCGAGCTACCGGATTTATGTAATTCCTGTAACTGCTGGACTCATTAATTTAGTTTGCATTGTTATTTTGAATCTCATATATGATAGAATGGCGGAATGGCTCACGGAAATGGAATTACAGAGAACTCAAACCGAATTCGACGACAGCCTAGCGGTCAAAATTTACATGTTTCAGTTTGTCAATTACTACTCTTGCATATTTTATATAGCCTTCTTGAAGGGGAAGTTTGTTGGATATCCGGCAAAGTATAACAGAGTATTTGGTTACCGACAAGAAGAGGTTAGTTGATTATTTTCTGAATGATAATGATTACAGGGGGTGGAGTGACGTTTGAATATGAAATTGAATTTTTTCTTTATAGTCTAATTTTGATTGAATGTTATTCTCCACTGTTTGTGTGTTGCATGTGTGTCATTCACGTAAAGATCATAATCGGTTATTTCTCGAACATTTTTATTCTTTATCGATTAATGATATATGTTTCTCTCGAGAAAAAATAAAAAGGAAATATTTTCAGGAGAGAGTAGTTTAATGATGGAAAAGTAGAAAGCCAAATAGCTTTTTTTTTCAAAAAATGTGAAAAAAATATTGTGAGGTTTTTAAAAAAGTTTTCAAGAGTTCTATAATGCTTTTATTAACATGTCTCAGAAACAAAAGAAAATATAAAGTCTCATATACACTACATTATTGTTAATCTCTGGATGTTTTTTCATAAAGTTGATCAGAAAATTTCTGGATTTCCTCCCAATCGATAGTCTAGTGACCTACTCACATTGTGTGCCACATGTGAAACCACTATTTGGTTAGGTTCGGACAGTTCAAAAATATTAAAATATAAACTAGAGGTTCAACTCCATCATTAAACAAAAAATGTGGGAAACTACTATAGAAAGGAAACAGAAAATAACTACAATGAAAACTCTCTATAAAGATATGTAGATCATGCTGCACACAAGTGTTTCTCTATTTGAGTTGGCATCATCAGGAGATGACTACAACCACAACAAAGTGTTTTCAATAGATTCATTTTACGCCAGTGGTTCTAATTCTACCTATAAAGATATGAAAACAATCTTGAAACTAAATAATACTATTGGATTTTTTCCCATCACCAAACCGTTATTTTAACACCTCAACACGTGTTTCGATCATCAAGTGATCATCTTCACAAAGAAGATTAAACTGTTTAAAATCTCCCTCTTGAAGATGATAACTTGGTGATCGAAACATGTGTCGCGGTGTTAAAATAACGGTTTGATGTTGGAAAAACTCCAGTCATATTCATTACTACACCAAAGGTCCCAAACAGTGCATCACCTTTTACACTCATTTAGATTTTTCAATTATTTTTAATTTTTTCAGATATTGCACAATTGAAATATCCAAGATTAAAAAAAAAAGTTTAATGAATCACAGAAGTGACCTCTAATCATTTCAAATCACGAATTTGCATGCTTAAAGTATGTACCTAAAGATACATTCAAACACGTAAACATACAATTATAGTTGCCATTATTGTTACGTTTTCCCACGTGGGTTTACCAATAATTGACTACACTGAACAATAATCAAACTCAACTTTATTTCACTTCAAATACAACAAACACTTCAACTATTATTCAAATGTCTATCACCTTACTAGATCGCTCCGTGTACCGCATTGTAACTTCCACTTGACTGTCTCGATGGGCGAGTGGATGGCGCTTATATTTGGCAATCGAAGGCGCTGGAACATTCCTCGGAATTCCATCGAAGCCGGTAGCATTATTCTCGCTACATTTAGAACGGTAGCAAATATTGAACATTCGCGCCCTCTTATCTACGTCACAATTGGTTTATGGCTACCAGTGGCGGCCGGCGTTATTTTCTTTAGGGTATAATTTACAACATTATGTTGTTGCTGTAAAAAGAATGTACTTTTGGGTTAAGAGGGTGTTTGATTCCCGCTCCTAATCCCTCGAGGTTAAAGAAAATAGAAAATACACGTAATATTCGATTAGTATCAGTATCAGACAAAATCGTCAGATGTATCTGTCAAACGTTAATAACTTCGGCATTTTTGGTGATTAATCACTCATGAAAGAAATCATAATCATAATGAGCCTCACATATTGTAAGAATGAAAAAAAGTATGTATAACACATTTTTTTCACGCTAGAACAAAACACCGTCTATTAACACACGTTTCACTAGCAATTTAGTCTTTAACATCTCCCGATGGTGCTAGTTTTGTTATTGAAACGTATGTCGAGGGATAGTGTTTTGTTCTGGAATGAGAAAATGATTTCTTTAGATTCGTTTTACGAGGTTCCAGTTCTACCCATCAGACTCTGGTTTCCACTCAAAAAACATATTTTAACATATGTGGCGAAAGTGCTATGATTTTTCAAGGAAGTAAAACTACAAGTGACAAGGACCACTCTTCACCATGATAATCTGATATCACATACATTAGATAGCTTAGTAGTGAACTAGTTGAAACATGTAGAGTGCAGTTAGAGTGGTTTCAAATGAGTTGGGTTTCCATATTGCAAAGGCCGTTTACCATGCACTTATTGAATCTCGACTACGTTATGAAATATCTTTTTGGGGAGCATGCAACTCGTCCCTTCCCTCTTCTGTATTGATATTACAGAAGAGTGACACTAAGATGTCTCTGCAAAGTTAAACCCAGAGAATCGTGCAGGAACTTGTTCACTGCCAATAAAATGTTAACAGTCATCGCACTTTTTATCTTAGAGACGGTTTTCCTTATTTATAAACGTAAATCGAAGTTTTTTGCTTTTACTCCTTATGCTACTCGTAATAGCAATTATACCTTTAGACTTCCCATCCCAACTTCGAATTTGATCAAGGATTCTATGTACTATAATGGTGGTAAGTTGTTCAATCATTTACCACTAGAAATGAGATCTGCAAATCTAAGCAACATTCATTTCAAAAAGGTTGTGGAAGAAACTTCTTGTTGATAGAGACCCTATTATAGTTTGAAAGAGTATTTTAGCGAATCCTTTTAACAATATATCAGCAATATACTAGCAATTTATTCTTTGTACTATCACTTTATACATGGCGGTATTTTATCTATACATTTTTAGAACTTTTTTTTATATTTACATTTATACATTTTTGGAACTTTTTATATCTACATTTATACTTTTTTAGTACTTTTTCTGTATTAACATTGTATTTCTTGGACTTTATCAATAAGATGCAAATCTTCGAACAATAAAGTATATTTTGATTTGACTTGATTTGGTAATACATGGGGCATCTGCCCTGATTTAGCACCCAATTTCTTTTAGTTTTCCTTAAGGGACAAATAATTTGCGCTTTGAAATTTATGATTATTCGTGATATATATTATCATAAACAATGTTGCAGACTAAAAACTTTTCATTCATTTCCTGGTATTATTTAAATTTTCTGTTATTTTTTTTAGTGTAATCCGGGCGGGTGCCTTATGGAATTGACGATACAATTAGCCATTATCATGATTGGCAATCAAGCTGTCAATACTGTTACCGAAATGGTCATACCATTGCTAATGAAAATGTACAACACTTTTGTAGTGACTATGGGTATAGATAAGGTAGAGAAGGAAGAAGTCGCTCTGATCAGTTGTAATCAATGGACAGAAGATTACAAGTTGGGTGATTTGGAGAGCAGAACATTGTTTGCTGAATATTTGGAAATGGGTGAGAGATGATAGTACTAATATTTGTTGAATACATTATTTGCAATTGTATTGAAAAACTTGAGCCTTGATTGGAGAGAACAAAATCCAGGCTGGTAAGCCATCGTCGAATGAAACTTGTAGTACCAAATGTTTTGTTCGCTACTGCGGCAGATATCACCAGTGACTGCGACTCAGTTATTGCTGAGACTTCGAGATAAAACTTTCGGTTTCTCAGTCAACTCTGCAGAAACCTAACAATTTGTCTAACAAAGTAAGCTTATGAAACAAAATTTCAATTATTATTAATGTCAATATTTTGTTTGATGTATTGATATGATGTGTTGAACTCAGATTTGTATACAATTATAACCTACAAAGGATGAACTTGTATACAATGTCATACCAAAAAAAAATTGTTCAGTTATATGTTGAGAATATATTATATTCAGATGTTGCTAGTATTTTCAATCAACGAAACCTACGAGAAAATATTGAAAATAATGGCATAATAAAGATCCTGAGAGAATCGGATCAACACTGATCTAACGAAAGTCAAATATTTTTTTTTAAACAAACTGTCCAATATATTACTTGAAGAAGATCTTATGAAAAAAAAAACAACTAAATTCTTAGGGGCTGACATTAATAATACTTTAAAATTCGACGGTCACATTATCATGTTATGTAAAAAAATCGCATCAGAGTATTTTGTTTTCAGAAGAATTGTTAATGAACTTGGTATCAGCCAGCCAAAAATGTTGTATATTATTCTTTGGTAAAGTTCATCCTACGTAAGGAATACAATTTTGGGGCTCATACGCTGACAAAAATTTTAAATCTGTTTGTACAACAGAAAAGATCACAAAGGCAAAGGGAATAGCAGATATGTAAGCCACTTTTTATTAAACATAAAGTATTAATATTATCTTCATTATTTATTTTGGAAACAGNATCACTAGTCACGCAGTCTTTTCTCCATAGATATTTGATACTGAATTTAACCTATGGGTTAGATTGGCTTTGAGAACCGCTATGATTTATACCTTATTCGCATACACTTGCGACTTGAAGAAAACCCACAAGAAAAAGTCTAACGATATATGATGAATGATATATCCGTTCATGGTGATTTAGCAAATTAGACTGAATAAACCACCATGTCCACAAATATTTGGAAGGCTTCAACATCTTGACCGATCATCAATATGGCTTTCGGAAACAAAGATCAACGGACGGCCTTACGATTGGTCCATGAGGAACACCTACATTGATTCGTTTTCTAATTCAATTGAGTTGTTCAACGAAATCTCCATGTTGATGGTATATTGAGTTCTGTTTCTCAAATGAGATTGTAACCAATCTCTAACATCACGTCTCGATAACTTATATTGAAATATCGGGATATCAAGAAGGAAAACCACTTTTCGATCCGCAATCACCTGGTACCACCAGGAAATAATCCTAACAATTTCAGTCGGGGAATACATCAATATGAAAATGAGTATCACGTAGGTACGAGTATTCGTGATAATTCTGCAGAGTATCGGCTGTTGGCTTGATTATAAAACACGATATCGGTGATCTTTGGTTGGCGCTTCCATATTCTTCGTGAGTGAAATCCAGGATTGGATTGGCGATTGTGAAATATCATTTCAAAGTGCAGAGTAACTCCTTGTTCTCTGAATTGTTTCATATTTTTCATTTGTATTCAAGTAACAATCAGTATAGCTGCTTCAACTATTGCTACGATTTTATTAGTGGTAGTGGCTGATGACCCGCCGCTGCAGGTCACTGCATCTACCTCAACCCATAAAAATCAGGAAAAATATGTCTCTGCATCACAAATAAATACAGCAATATTACAAGCAACTCAAATGGAAACTATTCCCAAGTTTGTATCACTACACGTAACAAGATTGAAACCAGAAACAAAACCAGAAGACTTTTAGAGAATATTAGAACCAAATCTTCCTGGGGTGAAATGCGAAGTGCATCAATCCAAGAGACCAGAAATATATGTCTCCATGAAGGTTACTTTAAATAAAGAACACTCAAAAAACGCATGGAAGAAGGAAATATGGCCAAATGGAGCGGTAGTGTCACATTTTTTAGCCAGGAAGAGGATGCCTGCAAACATAATGGATCCTCTAACACAGACGCAACCCAACTAAAACCCCCGTCAACTACAACCCTCTTACATCAGAACATTACTTTGAGAGATGAAAACAACGAAAGTTCGGTATCTATTCTACTTGCTAATGTTCAGTCACTCAGAAATAAAAAACTGCTTTTGGAATCAATATTATTAGAAGACTTTGAATACGACATAGTTTGTTTAGATGAACATCACCTAACAAAGAGGTCGAAAGTTTTGCAATTGAAAATCATGACGTTTGTTCGTTTTACGCTAGATGTAAATTCGAAAGGGGTGGGGTAATGATTCTCTGTAAAGGAGGAGTGAATTACAAAAACAGGACTGACCTTCAAAATCTGTCGGTGGAAATACACTGTGAGTTAACGGCTATCCAGCTGGTTGATTTTCAGCTCTTAATAATCACAATATATCGTAGCCCAAACGGAGATTTTGAAATCTTCCTAAAAAACTTCAACTTATTATTGGAAAAAATATTTAACTTCAAAAAAGTAATCATAAACGGAGACTTTAATGTACATTTTAATGATAAAAAAAACCCTAAGACTAAAAAATTCACACAATTGATAAATTCTTTTAACTTTCATGAAAAAATCCACCATAAAACGAGAAATGAAAATACCCTTGATAATTTTCTCTTGAACTTTGAGACGGATGCACTCACGAGAGTATGGGATCCGGGCCTATCCGACCATAATATCGTAAATATGAAATTAATGCTAAGCAGTGATAATGGACGTAATAGCAACAAAATATATTACAGATCCTACAGAAATGAAAAAAATAAATTTAATTTTTTCCAGAAATTAGATATGCAGAATTGGGATTTCGTTGATTGTAATGAATGGAGTATAAACAAAAAATTTTTGAAATTTATTGACATACTCAAGTCATGTATGGAAAATTGTTTTCCTCTCAAACAAAAAAATAATAACAAACAAAGCAGTAAAAAATACTGGTACACAAATGAGCTCCAAACCATGAAAAATCAATTACAGCTCGTATNAAAAGTCCCATCTGGTGCGAACATGATCAATTTCTAATTAAAATATGGAAGACTCCATGACTACCTTTAGTTCTCTTATGGTATTGTTGAGACATCGATGTTGTCTTATGATCCGGGTGAGATTGAATCTGTCATGGAGAAGGAGAAGCGACAAATTTATTGGAACTATTCATTTCTCACTCCACCCTCAATAAAGCCGATAAACCTGGGTGAGAGACAAATATCGAATATCCCCACTATTTTCATTGCTCTTATTGATGTTTGAATGTAGCAATTCATATCTCCTGAAATGTTGATGAATTTTATGTTTTGCTCTCATTTGAAGTATAATATGAGTATGTATTTTTTCAGTGTTGCAGTATGGTTTTGTCACAATTTTCGTCGCAGCTTTTCCCCTTGCTCCCGTTTTCGCTTTGATAAACAACGTCTTGGAAATGCGTTTAGACGCCAAAAAGTTCATCAAGTACTATAGAAGGCCCGTTCCTCAGCGCGTCAAGAATATCGGGGTGTGGTACTCTATCTTGGCAGTCATCGGAAGATTGTCTGTCGTCTCCAACGCGTTCATCATCGCTTTTTCTTCCCATTTCATTCCCCGGTTAGTGTATAAGCTGAAAGAATCGGCAGGGGAGACAGACGAGGGTTTTCTAGAGCACAGTTTAGCCTGGTTTAACACTTCGGATTTTCCGCTGGAGTCTGCGCCATTCTCGCCCTCGATAAATGCTTCAGTTTGCAGGTATAGATTTACAAGCTTATTTCGCTTCTCCCATTAACTTATTCCAATTTCCCTGTTTCCCCTCTTCATCATTTTTGTATTTCATTCATTGATCCAACGGTTTCCCTCTGATATCTGGTTTGCTCCCCTAATTCTAATTACTTACTTTCTAGTTTATTCCTTCCTTCTACCTTCTCCAACTTTTATATTTAGTTTTTTATTTGCTATTTTTTAAGCGCCAGCTCAATAGTTATATCAATAATATCAATAGTTCTCTCAAAAGTCCGTTTTGTTGAAAAATTAATATGAATAAAGAGTGTACCAAGAATAGATGCTAAAGATACTAAAACATTTATATTTTTCATGGAAGGAAAATGGCCGCCAGAAAGTGTTGTATATCTGAGTGCTCTGGAATAAACATTGATTTTGTGTTCCTATGTTGTAATAAAAAGCCAAAAAATGGGTACTACATTTGCATAAGATGTCATGAAGTATTCCACGTAAGTTGCAATGACAGAATAGCTCCAAAAACATATAAAAACAATAACAGACTTGTCTGCAAAGAATGACCAATGACCAGAATAAAGATGAAGAAGAATTCTATTCGAAAATTATTGAGGAACTTCAGAATGAATGTAAGCAGAAGGCTGAAATAATTGTAAAATTAAATACCAAATATGACGTTTTCTACGAAGAAGCTCTAACAATGGAGAATGATTTTGTAATTATCAAAAGTAGAACGCACAAAAACACTGAAGTTCTTATCAGCACCAAAACCCAAACAGAGCGTAAAAACATCAAACTAAAAATGTCTAATATAAAAGTGACTAATGTTGATAGCTGTACGAAAATGGATAAGTTTAAGAAAATCATGTTGCCAATTCCTTGAAAAGACCAAGGAAAGTTGAAAAAACCGGTAAAATGTTACAAAATATAATGACCTCACAAATGAAAAAGTATTTAAATGTTTTGTATGTTACTTCAAAAAACTAAACCTTTATGTACTTTGTCTATATCGGTTTCCTTCCTTTGATGTGAATTTATTTTTAGAAAATTTAGAAGTGATACTGAGTGACTTCTCAACGAAATCAAATGTTTTCTTTGGTGGAGATTTCAGTATAAATTATGTGAATGATAAATATGCAGCTACACAAGCTCTTATGAGTATATTACAATCATTCAACCTCAACATGCACGTTAGATCAAACACTTGAATTTCTAATCATTCCTCCACCTGTATTGACTATGTATGCACTAATTATGACCTAGAAAAAGTTTCATGTATATTTATTTCCTCTGGACTATTTGACCATGAAGCTATAGATATTTCCAAAATATAATTTACTCTGCGAATAATAAAATGAAAGAGACGCGGTCCATAGTAAACAGTGAAAATATTGCGATCAGTGCAGATGATATCAATGAGTTCTACTGTTCAAATGCTCGTAAGCCTGTGATAACATAATTGTCCCTTACGACCCTCTTATTAATGTCCATAATTATCATACAGGAGATACTTTTATATTATATGATACTAGTATTGATGAAATCATCGAAGTGTTTAGGGATATCGAGAATAAAAAATCTTCTGGATACGATGGCATCTCCATAAACGTATTACAGAATCTTCCAAAAGAAGCACTTGAAACTCTTGTCGTGTTCAATAATCTTTCCTTTCGCAACGGTAAATTTCCTTCATTCTTGAAAAAGTCTGTGATATTTTCCTTGCGTAAAGGCGGAAGCTTGGGCGATCCCTCAAATTATTGTCCAATAGCCTTCATCCCGACTCTAGCGAAAATAGTTGAAAAGCTACTAAAAAAAAGGCCCAACGAATTCCTTATTGCTCATAAAATTATCAAAGAAAATCATTTCGGATTCCAAACTAAAAAGAACACCCAAGATGTAATTTTTTCTTTCCTTTATGAGGTTTATTAATATATAAATGCCGGAGATGTAGCAGCAGCATTATTTTGTAACCTCAAAAATGCCTTTGACCGTGTAGACCAAAAAATACTTTTGCGGAAATTGCATTATGACGGCTGCGAGGGAGTTACTTTGGAATGGTTACTGGATGCAGTCAAGTCGTAAATAGCGATACTATTTCAAAATATAATAATATTGACTATGGAGTGCCACAAGGATCGGTTTTAGGACCTACTCTTTTTTTGTATATATAAATGATTTACTGAGTGTACACACTTCTGGAAAAATTACTTTATTTGCAGACGACACCACCATTTTATAGCATGGTAAAACAGTTGACAATTTGTATAATAAGATATTCAGAGGCATAAATGTAATTAAATTTTGGTGTGACTCGAATCTCCATTTGGTATATGAAAAACAAATATAGTAACTTTCAAACGTACTCTAGAAGATATGCCTCTAGAATATGAGATGGTATGACTAAAGATTGCACAAAATTGTTAAGCCTTTTTATTGACAGCAAATTGAAGTTTGCAGCACACGTCAACCAAGTGAAGAATACAATCTCCACAGGGTGCTATGCAATGAGAATTATTTCAAGGGAGCTTGGTATTGTCACGGCTTTGAACGCATATTATGCATTAGTTGAATCTAAACTAAGATATGCCATACCTTTCTGGAGGGTATGTAACTCCAAGTCTGTCTAAACTACAAAAGAGAGGCATTGGATATGTGTTCAAACTAGGACCACACAATTCTTGTAGGCAGTTATTTGCAGAGAAAAAGATATTGACAGTTTGGCTCTCTTTGTTATGGA